GAAATTGCTAGCTATAACCATAAGTTCTTCTCTCGCATTTCTCACTTGTAGAATCTTTTTCTGGCTTCTTGCTTCACAGTCAAATTTGATCTTTAAAAATTTAAGTGCAATATCAATCATTATATTCTGACTTAATTCCTGTTCTTTTATTGTTCTCTCTCCTTATAGTTTTTCTTTTTCCCATTCTTTCACATACAGTAACCCCTTGTGTGTTGCCTTGCTTGGAGTGAAAGGATTAAAAAAAAAAAAAAAAAAAGGAATTAAGATAATTCTATTTTACATATTATAGCGTTTGTTTGTTTAAAGTGACCAGAATTTAACTTTTAACACACTACACTATTCATTACTTTCCACTGCATGGTTTTTCAAGGTTCCTTTGCTGCACTACTTTATTTCAGTCATGGTCATTTTCTGTTGCCATAGCAGGATATGACAACACAACTCAAAAATTCAAACACGCTATCATTCATTCATCTGAGTCACTTATAGTGGTAGGATAAAATTTTTTCTATGGAAACAAAATCATCTCCAGAATGTTAAGAGACAAAATAGATGTAGTACAGTCAAAAGTAGTGCCCAGGTTGGTAAATAAAAGTGGTGAATGACACCACTTTTATTGCAGTATATTAATACCTATTCTCATGTTACTAAGTTGAATTGATGGAAAAGACTATGATATCCTGCCGAGTTAATAACCTTCCTCTCCCTCTCAACAGTCCTGGGTATGATGATAAACTACATCCAGCAGCAAGACCTCTGATCAGGAGATTGGAGGTTTTGAGGAGCATTGAACCACCTCTTAATTGCTGTTTCCAGGTTCACCCTGACCTGAGATGGTAGCACCTGTTAAGGTCCCAGCTTTGGGCAAATAGTGAGCCCCACAAACAAAGCAATATAAAAGTATAAGTAGATTTTTATAGTAAAAATACCAGCAATTCATCTTATATAAAAAAAAATTACCAATAATATACATTTATAGTAAAACTAGCAGCATTGCCCATGCTTGATTCAAAAATCGTACGACTCATACAGCAATCACTATCACTTGACTTAAAATATTTTTGCCCTTCCTTGCCTTTAAAGGAGTGCCCTTTGCCCTGCTGATGTTGCTACATGCCTTACTTCTTGCCTATCCCACACTGCGAATTTTTTCTAAGCTCTATACTAAACATTAAATCTGTTACGAAAAACGGACTAAACAAAATGAACACAAAACGATCAGCTTTAAAAAAGGATTCGTAACTGGAAAAACCGAATGAAAAAAGAATGTTAACAATATATACTTTTTCACACCCAACCCAGTTCTGTGGAATCAGAATCAACGTTGAGTTTAAGCAAGTGAATGAGCCATTTGGAGTAAAGTGCCATGCAGATTTAAATTTTTCCCCACTTGTGATGAATGCAGATATCGATTTTTTTTTGCATGCTAGCTAACATTCATGTCAGTCAGCTGTTGGCTCTCACGCTGGCCAATAGAATCTTCCTGCCTACTCGTGGCAGCCAGTTATAGGCCCTCACTCTTGCCAGTACAAAATGGTTGCAAACTACATGAAAACTGCCATAGAAGCATGAAAAAAAAAAAAAAAAAAAAAAAAAAAAAAAAAATCGATTATTTCCACTATCGATGGGAGTTGGGAAATGCAAAACCCTACTGAAAAGGGAGATAAACGTTTAAGATTTTATTTTCCACATAGGTATACGAAGATATACAGATAGATTTTTATGATGTGGCATTACCAAATTCAGTTCAAAGTGATAAGACTACAATAGAAGATTCTGTGTTGCAGAAGGTAAATTTTGCCTTAGTATTTTTTTCTCCAACCCTTACCATATTCAAAACCTGTCTGCCTTAAAAAAAAATAAATGCAAAAATGAACAAATATACAAAGCTACTCAAAGTAGAAGGGTTAGTGAAGGAAGTGGTTGTTGTATAAGAGGCGCAGTTTATAAGGATATGTGGAACAGAATGGTTAAAAAAAAACCTAGACTTGAACAGGTTAAGATAGGTACCTCCACGAGATCACTAAAAAAAAAAAAAAAAAAAAAGCATAGCACAAAGAAAAAGACACCAAACTTGACGTAAACAAAATTTTATCATCTAAATGTTTCTGTTTATTATTAAGAGGAAAGATCAAAGTATTTTGGGGCTATTTTTTTTTTTTTACATTTTTTTAATCGTTCCTAGCACGTCCGAAAATTTTCATTAAAAATCTTGTTTTTTTTGAGTCAGCAAAATTGACCATTTTTTTTACATTTTATAAAAAAACTGAAAATCTCCCTTTGAAATTCTTTTAAATATCAATTATCATTTTTTCAAAACTTATTTTAAGAAAATCAGAAATTATGTTTCTTTAAAATATTTTGAACCAAGCTTAGCTTAGCTTCTGTGCCGAAAAGATATAATTTGAAAATAAAACAAAGCAGGTCATAAACTTTCGCGTCACTTGACAGGTGATGAATGACATATTGACAGATTCCATGAGGATAATTTGTTCTACGGAAGGAGAAAAGTGAAATTATTTACATTTAAGTGAAAAAATTATTTACCTCATTATTTTTAAGGAATGCTTTCAGCACTCTAATTATTTTTTTGTTTTTCGTACTTAGCTTTCACCTTTACAATGCTTTATGGAAAATATATTCTAAAGAAATTAAAATAAGACTTAAGAGTGAGATTAAATTTCATATATCATAAGAAAGGTATCTAATTAACTTATAGGTACCTTTATGAAATTTTATCAGAAGTGTACATAAAATACCATAATTTTATGTACATTTATTACATTTTACTGTGTTATTTGTATTTCCATTCATTTTATTATTAATTTTGATATTTCATTTATGGAAAAATGTCATAACTGAGATTAATATAAAAATAAGATCATATAAATTTCATAAGATGATACTGATACTTGTAGGTACCCTTCTCAGTTGAAATTGAAAAATCAAATTAACTTCTCCACATGTGTTTCGCAAAAGTAAATGCCTTAACAGCGGAGAACAATGCTTAACTCAAATAACGCAACTTAATTGTATTCTGGTTGGTCTTCCATACTTTATAATTACAGCCCGATTATAAACACAAAATTACATTTCTTAATTACTGCAGGTCTTCTGATTAGTCAAAATGATACAACTTACAACGCACTAAAAAAAAAAAAAAAGATAAGGACAATTAGGACACCCGATGCGGCTTTTAACTAATTTTATAATATTTTAACTTAAATGTAAAAATCTTTATAATTAAAAAATAACAAAAATGTATTAAAAATTCATTTTCCATCAAAAAAATTTTTGCTTTCAGAAAATATTGTCTATATTCATAAAAGAAAAGCATTTGAAATTAAATATCTGTTTTATTGAGTTTTGTATGTTACAATTCAGAGCTGATTTTCAGGGGGGGTCCAATTAAAAAAAAAAAAAAAAAAACAAAACATGATTTGCATTCCTCAAAGCCTTGTGCTTTTAAACTATTGTAATCACTAAACCTGACGCAATCGAATTTCTAGCGTTTTCATAAAATTAGTTGGGGGGTAATAAATATAAAAAAAAAAAAATATTTCTGCCATGACTTTGATAAAAAAAAAAAAAAAAAAAAAACAACATTTATAATAATTTCGATCATCTGTGAATGGTTTCTGAAAGTTTCATTAACATCCGACAATTATTTTTATTTTTGCAAGATTTTCCAAATTAATGTGTCACACACACAAAAAAAAAAAAAAAAAAAAACGTGCTAAAAATTGTATGTTATTTTACTAGTTCCGGTGATACAAAGAGAAACAAGCGTTGTTTTTTTTTTAAGTCAAAATTTAAATTAGAATGTTCTAAAAAGAAGGAAAAATTTTTAAAAATAGTTAAAATAAACTTTGATCTTTCCTAATAATATAAACATTTTATTTTTAGACGACAAAATTTTGTTTTCGTCAAATTTGTCGTCTTTTTCATCATGCTATGCTCTTTTTTTAGCGATCTCGTGGAGGTAACTAGGTTAACTTAAGATTATAAAGTGGTCGAGAAAGCTAAAGCATCTTCTTGGGAGTCGGTTCCACAAAGTATCTGTTCGAGTGGAATTTTTACTTTTTTAATGCAATATGAAGGGAATTAAGGTGGTCTCCTCAGTGTAGCGAGTGTTAGAATTTGTGGAACTAATGAAGATAGCTCGCCTGAGCATTTTCTATGGAAATGGCGATAGCGATAGTTATTAACGAGCAAATCTTGGGGCCTTAGGTGCGATATCCCAAACGGAAATTGATCATATACCGATTATTAATTAACGGTTGTAACTTTAAAACACAAATAACTAGTGCTTTACTTATAAAAAAAAAAAAAAAATTAAAAAATCGACACGTCTATTTTGTTTGAGTTACTTATGAAAAAAAAATTAATTGAATGATCAGCGAATTATGAAAAATCGAATTATTTCACACAACTGCAACCGTTAATGACGAAATTTTACTTCGTAAAATAAGAGAAAATTTCTTGTTTATTGACAAACATATTTTCGAACTTAAGGTTGCATTAAAAATCGTTTTAAAAGGTCAATAGTCGTTAAAAATCAAAATTTGTAAATCGAAGTTTACAAAACCTGGAATTATTTTTTTCGCGTCGAATATTATGAAGAAAAATCGAAATAAAATATAGAGCATGTTATTCAATTGCTTTAAGTTATATTTTTCATCGCGTTAATCATGAAAACGACATCATAAAAGATTAGGCTAAACAGCAGCTTCGACTTTTAGTTAGGTTTGTTTACGTACGCCATACTCTGATTTTCAAGAGCTAATAGCTGCAATCATTAATAATAATAAAAACGACGATCTTCTAGCATTTGCACGTCTTGAAAGATAGATGGAGAAATAAAATCCTTGCTTGTCAGTACAAATATAATAATACCGATAAGAAAACACATGTTGAATGGAAATCATAAGGTCAGCTCATTGGATACGCCACGTGGTTTATAAGGGAAATTCATTAAAAAGCAATTTAATGTTAATTACCTTAAACATTTCTGGTCAATCGGATTAGGATCTGTAGCTAACAGATTTCCTTCATCTAATTCGAGTTCAAGACTCTTGTGCACTTCGATTGACTTAAATGAAGACTTTTTTTCTTGAGCTTCACGTAATACATTTGCCACAAGATCCGCCATGTTTCTCACTCTAATGTAAATTGACGAATGAAAAGTGAGCTTTTATTGCATGCTGAATCTTAGCCAATCAAATACAACAATACATTGGTGAAAGTGAAAAAGTAAATTTATTACAATATTTTCAACTTTTTTTTTTATCACTGAGCTATCAAACTTATTGTAACAGCTTTTTTTTAAGACTGGTTAATTGTATTATAAATAAAATTTGTAGTCAAAAACAAATTTGTAGTCAATAAAAAGTAACTTTGAATTATGATTTATAAAAACAAAATGAATTTATTTTCAAGAAAACTACTGAATAGGTCACAACTATGTCACCAAATTCACAAACCAACACTTTTTTTAATCCAAAACTAATTGCGACGGGCAGCATATATTTCGACTCAGTGTAAATGGAACAAAGAATAACTGAGCACTTCTAATTAAGAACTAGACAAGATATTCTTAGACATGGTCAGTGAAATGAGAACAATCTACCACCATGGATTGAAGGGTTCAGTTCAAAATTCCTTGTTGTGGGTTATCCAGATCAAGAAACACATGATGATGATAATTCCACCTCCCAGAGATTGAAAAAGAAAATTTAACTACCTGTTTTTATCTTCATGAAAATGCAAAATCTTATGCAACTTAACTGCTGGTATATTAAGAAATCCTATGGACCATAACTGCAACTTTCTTTTTCTAATTTTAAGTTCAACACAAATCAGAGTAAGGATCTTTGAAATCAAAAACATTGAAACAATATGCAGGCAAACAGAATAATGATTTCTCTACTTAAACTGAGTTAGAATTTCTCCAAAGGAAATGAGTGGGGATTTCTCCAGTTCCATTCATTGAGAATTTCTCTATATAGTGGTAATGACTCCAGATGAAATGAGTGGAAATTTCTCCAAATTAAATAAGTGGGAAACTCCTCCAGATGAATTTAGTGGAGATTTCTGTAGATAGTGGAAATTCATCCAGATGAATTAAGTGGGAACTGCTCCAGATGAATTGGGTGAAAAGTTCTACAGATAAAAATGTGGAAATTTCTCCAGACGAAATATGTGGGAAGTTCTTGCAAATAGGCAAATGTCAATTTCACCAGATGAAATGTGTGGGGGTTTCTTCAGAGAATTTGAGTAGGAATTTCTCCAGATGAATCTAGTAGGAATTTCTCCAGATTAAATGTTTGGGAATTTCTCTAGATGATTTGTGTAAGAATTTCTCCAGATGAAACACATGGTAATTTTTACCAGATGAAATGTGTGGTAATTTCTCCAGATGAATTGAGGGGGAATTTCTCCATATATTGGAATTTTCCCCATAGAAATTGAGTAGGAATGTCTTCAGATGAATTTAGTGGAAATTTCTGCAGTTGGGAATTTTTCCAAATGAAATGTATAGGAATTTTTCTAGATGAATTAAGTGGGTATTTCTGCAGATGAAATGTGTGGGAGTTTCTCCAGATGAATCAAGTGGGTATTTCTCCAGATTATTTGACTGGGAAGTTCTCCAGATTATTTATGTGGGAATTTATCCATATGAAGTGAGTGAATATTCATCCAAACAAAATGATTGAGACTTCCCCAAAGGAATTGAGTGGGAATCTCTGCAGAAAAGAATTGTTTGGAAAATTCTCAAGAGTATTTCCATTGAAATTTCTCCAAATGAGGTAATTTGTCCAGATGAATTCCATGGGAATTTTTGCAGTTCAATTGGTTGGGAATTTCTGCAGATTAGATGTCCAGACTATTAGAGTGGACATTTCTCCAGATGAAGTCAGTGAGAATTCCTCCAGATGAATTGTTTGGGAATGTGCAGGAACTTCTCCAGATATAATTAAGTGGGAAGTTCTAAAGATGAATTGAGTTGGAATTTCTCTTCATTAATTATTGTGGGAATTTCTCCAGATGAAATAATTGACAATTTACCCCAGTAGAATTGAGTAGGAATTTCTCCAGGTGAATTGATTGGTAATTTCTACAGGTAGAATTTCTCCAGATGAAATTTGTGGGAATTTCTCTAGATTAATTATGTGGAATTTCTGGGGATAAAATGAGTAAAAATTTATCAAGTTGAAATGAGTATGAATTTTTCATGATGAAATCAGTTAGAATTACTCCAGATGAATTGAGTTAGAATTTCTCCAAATGAATTCAATTGGAAATTTCTCCAGATGAACTAAGAATTTATCCAGATGAATTTAGTAGGAGTTTCTCCAGATGTAATGAGTGGCAATTTCTCTGGATGATTTGAGTGTGAATTTCTCAAAATGAACTGAGTGGAAATTTTCAAGATGAAATCAGTAACAATTTTTCAAGATGAAACTTGTGGCAATTTCTTCAGGTCAAATGTGTTGAAATTTACCCAGATGAATTTAGTTGGGAATTCCTCTTGATGTATTGTGCTGAAATTTCTGTAGATAGTGGGAATTCTCCAGATGAAATATGTGAGAATTTCTCCAGATTAAATTTGTTGGAATTTCTCCAGAAGAATTGATTGAGAATTCCTCCAGACAAAATGACTGCGAATTTCTTCAATCAAATTGATTTAGCTTTTTTCCAGATGAATTGAGTGGGAATTTCTGCAGATGCATTTTGTGGGAAATTCTCCAGATTATTTAAGTGATTCTCAAATGACCTGAGTAGAATTTCTACAGATGAATTAGTTTTTCTCTGGATGAACTGAGTAGGAATTTCTCCAGATGGTTTAAGTAGGTACTTTTCCAAATGAAATGTGTGTTAATTTCTCCAGATTAATTGAGTATGAATTCCTTCAAATCAAGTGGGAATGTCTCCAGTTGAAATATGTAGAAATTTCTCCAGATGAAATGATTGGCAATTACCCTCAAGGAATTGAGTGGGAATTTTTCAAGGTGAATTAAGTGGTAATTTCTGCAGATAGTCAGAATTTCTCAAGATGAAATGAGTGGAAACATCTCAAGATGGAATGAGTGGAAATTTCTGGAGATGAAAGGAAGAGGTGAATTTAGTAAGTATTTTCTCAAGATGAAATGAGAATAAGAATTTCTTCAGATGAACTGAGTGGGAATTTCTCAAAATGAAATCACTGGGAATTTTTCCAGATGAAATTAGTGGGAATTTCTCCAGATGAACTGACTGTAAATTTTCTCAAGATGAAATTGGGAATTTACAAGGTGAAATCAGTAATGATTTTTCAAGATAAATCTAGTAGCAATTTCTTCAGGCTTTGTGGAAAATTCTCCAAATTAAATTTGTGTAAATTTCTTCAGATGAATTGAATAGCAATTTCTCCATATGAAATATATGGAGATTTCTCCAGATGAAATGCATGGGAATTTCTCTAGATGAAATGAGTGGGAATTTCTCCAGATGAATCAACTAGATTTTTTCAGATGAAAGTGTATGAGGATTTGTGTGGGAATTTCTCCAGATGATTTGAGTTGGCTTTTCTTCAGATGAAATGGCTGGGATTTTCTCCAGATGAATGAGTGTGAATTTTACCAGATTAATTCAGTAGGCACTATTCATGATGCATTCAGTTGGTATTTTCCAGATGAAATGTGCCTGAAAATCTCCAAATAAATTGAGGGGTAGTTCTCCAGAAGTATTTAGTAGGAGTTTCTACAGAATTCAGTGGGAATTACTCTAGATGTATTTATTGAGAATTTCTCCATATGAATTTGGTGAGAATTTTGCAAATGAATTGATTGGGATTTTCTCCAGAGGAATTAAGTTGGCTTTTCTCCAGATTATTTGGTTGCGAATTCCTCCAGATGAATGACTGTGACTTTCTCCAGATTAATTTAAAAGAAATTCCTCCAGATAAATTCAGATGGTATTTTCCAAATGAAATGAGTGAGATTATCCCCAGATAAATTGTGTGGGTGTTTTTCTAGATTTTAAATTGAGTTTCCCCAGATGAAATGAGTGCAAATATCTCCACTTATCGCCAATAAATGAAGTGGGAAATTCCTTAAACAAATTTAGTGGGAATTTCTCTGTGTGAATTTAATTGGAATTTCTGAAAATTAATTAATTTGGAATTTCTCCATATGAAATATATGAGAATTTTTCCACATGAATAGAGTGGAAATTTCTCCTGATGAATTAACTTGGAATTTCTCAAGATAGTGAGTATTTCTTTAGGGGTATTGATTGGGAATTCCTGTAAATGCATTGAGTGGTAATTTCTCCAGATGAATTTAGTAAGAATTTCTCCAGGTGAAAGGAGTTGAAATTTCTAAAATGATTTGAATGGGAATTTCTCCAGAAGATATATGTGGCAATTTCTCCTGAAATAATTGAGTGGGACTTTTTCCAAATGAACCCAGTGGGAATTTCTATGTAGCCAGTCATCATCATCAGCCACAGCTTCACTTCAGCCACTACTCCAGCCAGCACCAACGATATGCAATAAACTGTCCTTTTTAGAACAGCTCTCTTCAAAGACTACAAAACTGTTCTTTTCAGGATAACAATTCTCAATGGCTAAAAAACTGTTCTTTTTAGGACAACACTCTACATAAACATGCAGAGAATATTTTTGACTAGTGCACTGTAACCTATTTTTGCCAGTGTATTTTCTTTAAAATAATTAAACTTGGCAATATATATTTTTACTCAGATCTTCGTCTTGTTTGATGTAGTCTTGTGTTATTCAATATCTGTTTGTGGGCCAATAAACCACCTGCAACAATACCATCAGCTGATGAACATTCATGAGTTTGATGTGTATTTAAGAATTCACTTGAAGAGACACACTGTTAATCAGCAATAAGAGAAGCTAGCAGGTGGTTACAATCTACAGTGAACTGTGTGTTCCACAATTTATGGTGTTGGAGTGAGTTACTTTTCTTTCCTCGGTGGCAAACCTGTTTTGAAGTCAGTCTCTCTCTCTCTCTCTCTCTCTCTCTCTCTCTCTCTCTCTCTCTCTCTCTCTGTTTTTATCACAGAATCAAACTACTCATAGAAACAGATGGATATCCAAAGGTGCACAAGATTGTTAAAGTATGAGTTTCAGAAACTGAGCAA